ACCAACGGAGGCATGAGAGCTCAGCTCTCCCCCGGCCTCCCCCTCCCCTTCTTATCACCTAGCGGTTGTAATTACATCAGCAGATTCGGCACATTCGCGATAGAAAAGCGGCGCTTTCACATTATGGTATTACAACTGTGAAATTACAAACAAAAAATACACATTCTGAGACATGAACTGAAATGAATTGTGAATTTTATTAACATTAAATCGTCCTCCTCCCATTTTCACCTCAAAATTATGGGGAAGCTGTGCCTCCCCTGACGAGCCGCCACTGCGTGTTTATACTTTTTTGTTATTATGAAAAGATTCGCGAGCGTTTTGAGTGGATTCTGACTAACGCAATCTTAAACGTCTGTGATTGGCCACTGCGTTCCTGCGCTCATCAAACATGTCTGTGATTGGCTACAATGCTCACCGCTTCAAAAAAACACGTTGTAATTAGAAACAGCCGACGCTCTTCACATACACGCGGGAGGATTTGAAAACAACTGTATATCATTAGTTACCGAACTGAGTATGTATTACTATTTTTGTAATTTCAGTATCGACTTGCTTATCGAAATACAGGAGCTTTTGACAATTTGATTGGCCACTGCGTCCTCAAGCGCAACAAACATGTCTGTGATTGGCTAGTGGCTACAACGCTTTAAAAAAAACACGTTGTAAATAGAACCCGTCGAGCTCTTCACAGAGAGAGACCATGTTGCCAAGTCCGCGGTTTTCCGCAGAATCCGCTACTAATCCGCAACATATACGCAGATTTGGGCTACTTTTATACTTTTGCTTGTTTATAGTCCACGAGCTACCACCGCCCCCGGAACGTAGGGGAAAACCGCGGAAGCTACCACCGCCCCCGGAACGTAGGGGAAAACCGCGGAAAAACGCCATTGGGCTTCTTTTGGGCTAGCTTTGATTAGCAATTAGGATGGGTTTGTTTTCGCAGACCTGGCAACCTGCGCACAATTCCACGCTGGAGGGTTTCAAAAAGCAGCCGACTATCAGCGGGTACCGAATTCAGTCGGTATTTGACTTCTTTTTTTTTTTTTTTTACGGTTTTAGTACCGAAATACAGGTGCTTTTCACAACATTACTACTTCTACTTAATTACTACTAACTTCTCCCGACGTGAAGTTCATCAAAAGGTAGGACAATTAAGTATTACTTCTTTTCGTTAAATGCCAAACATCAAATGTGTTATTCACTGTGAGGATAATTTTGAGATAATTTTAAAAGTTTAATTTAATTACCTATTTTATCCTATATTTGTGTACTATAATATTTGGCTTATTTTGTTAGTTTAGCAACACACAAATGTTTTACTCGGTCACCTTTGAGATTCAATACTAGTTAGACTGGTGCCTTAGAGGGAAGCTTCCTATGTAGACAGCAAGGTTTGAAACAGATGTTGGTTTGACGTTGGATATTCGCACATTTAGGGACCGTCTCTAAAGTTACATATGACATTCACATGATCACAAACGGAAATCACTTCCGTGAAGTGACAATCGCATGTTCCCTTCGCTAACGGACTTCTGGAAGGGCCCTTCGTGAAGGGATTCAGTTGTTCACCTTCATTTGGAACGTCTCTACAAATGGCGTCCCCTTCCCGAAGTGCCTTTCAAGGGCGCAAAAAAGCAGTTTGGAATTCGCCCCATATATCACAACCCATCAAAACAAGGATGTTGTATCTACAGAGAAGTTCGTAATGAAATGTGATTAAGAATCACACAGTAGCCGACCTCAGGTGTGTGTAGAAGTCCCGTAACTTCCTCTCGTAGAACTGCACGGCCTGAACCACCAGTTTGATCACTTCTTGGCAGTCGCCCATACTGCGCTGCTCTGGAGACATAAAGACACTTTCAGATCACGTGACGGATCGGCGCGTCTTGAGGATGTTGAGAGCGAGTGTCTTACCTCTGGGTTTCTCTCTCAGTTTACGGAAGAGCTCCATGGCCTTCACCTCACTGCAAAACACAACACAGGTGAGTTTGAGCAGGTAATTTACATCAGTCTGCTGGGAAACAAACTCAGGTTTATGAGGTATCAGACTACAGAGGTTCATGACACTGAATCTTTTACAGCTACTCAGGAGTTTAAAGGAGTAGTTCACTTCCAGAATGAAAATCTCCTGATAATTTACTCACCCCCGTGTCATCCAAGACGTTCGTGTCTTTCTGTCTTCAGTTGGAAGGTATCAGACTACAGAGGTTCATGACACTGAATCTTTTACAGCTACTCAGGAGTTTAAAGGAGTAGTTCACTTCCAGAATGAAAATCTCCTGATAATTTACTCACCCCCGTGTCACCCAAGACGTTCGTGTCTTTCTGTCTTCAGTTGGAAGGAAATTAATGTTTTTGAGGAAAACATTCCAGGATTTTTCTCCATATAATGGACTTCAATGGGGATCAACGGGTTGAAGGTTCAAATCGCAGTTTCAGTGCAGCTCAACACGATCCCAGCCGAGGAATAAGGCTATTATCTTGCGAAACCATTGGTCATTTTCTAGAAAAAATACAAATGTATATACTTTTTAACCACAGATGCTGGTCTTGCACCAGCTGGACTTCACGCATGACGTAATCATGTTGGAAATGTTGTGCGCGGTTATGTCTTCGTCTGTGTGCTCCGGTACAGAAAGGTAGAGTAGGGCGAAAAACTCTGTCTCATTTTCTCTTCCAACTTCAAAATCGTCCGACATCGCTGTTTTACCTTTTTTTTGTAAAGGGCTTTTGACTTTCTTTGCACGTTGGCTTTGTAAACACTGGGTCGGTGCTTCAGCCTCAGTCACGCGTGACCTTTCCAACGTGATTACGTCATGCGTGAAGTCCAGCTAGTGCAAGATGAGCATCTGTGGTTTAAAAGCATATAAATTTTAATTTTTTTCCAGAAAATGGCCGATGGTTTCGCTAGATAAGGCCCTTATTCCTCGGCTGGGATCGTGTAGAGCTGCTCTGAAACTGCGATTTGGACCTTCACCCCGTTGGTCCCCATTGAAGTCCATTACATGGAGAAAAATCCTGGAATGTTTTCCTCAAAAACCTTCATTTCTTTGCGACTGAAGACAGAAAGACCCAAAAATCTTGGATGACATGGGGGCGAGTAAATTATCAGGAGATTTTTATTCTGGAAGTGAACTAATCATTTAATATAAATCCTACTGTATCATATTTGATAGGTTTCTAAATGATCAGTATGATGAAAACTGATAAACCTGTCGCACTCGATCTGCTCCAAGCCTTCTGTCGTCTGATTAAAGGGGTCATATGATGCTTTTTTAAAGATCATTATTTTGTGTATTTGGTGTAACAGAATATGTTGACATGCTTTAATGTTCAAAAAACACATTATTTTTCAAATACTGTACATTATGCCTTCTTTCTTTGCGTGCACATTTGGGTGGCATTATGCAAATGTTTCCACATAGTGAGGTAGATATGTGGGGGTGTGTTAGAACGAGCCGTTTTAGGGGGGCGTGGCAGAGTCTTAACTTTGATAAAGAATATCTCTTTGGTTTTGAGACTTTAGTCTTTGCAACTTCAGGGATCTTATCTATTCACAAACAGCTTGTAACACTCCAAAGAGAAAGGAAAACTTGAAATCGCATCATATGACCCCTTTAAGAGTTAGACTTTTTTATCAAGTAAGAAGTCTTTTAGGTTAATTGTACAAACGTCCACCTCCAGCTCGTGCTTTTTGCTTTCAAATCTTTACGGTTTTTATAAAGTAAACGTAAGAATGACTTTGATATTGTTAGTAATATTTTAAGATGAACACTTACTGGACTGAAGCAACTTAGGTTTAACCATACATTTTTTTTTTTTTTTGAAAGATCAGTGAGTCTCAAATCTGATCATCAGGCTTTCAAGGAATGTTTATTTGTTCATCTCTCAATCATTGTATTGCACTGCATTATATGTTTTGATCATCATGCTAAGCATTTAAATATCATCATACTAGGGCATATTATTGTGAGATATTGAGTGACAACAGATATTTATATTATTTTATGTAAGTATCTGCTATACTGTTATAAAGAACTGCATATTTTTACTCAGTTTGGCCTCTGAATAAAATGTTGCTGTTTTTTCCTTTATATTCTCACTATATCAAACTATATGAGCCATAAAAGCCTGATCTATCAAATATGATTATGAAATAATAATCTCTCTCTATCTATCTATCTATATATATTAGTATGAGTGTGTGTGTTGATTTACAGCGTTTCTAAAGCCTCTCCACTCCTCCACGGCTGTCTCTGCAGGTCCACGATATCAGTCTGAAGGGTCATCATCTCCTCCTCCAGCTTATTCACGTCTTCTGTCTGACACACACACACACACACTACTAAACGTACGGTTACAGCAGCACAAACACTAGCTATGATCACTGCGACAACTGACAAGTCTGAAATCACACACACGCTCTTCTTACCTGTCCGCAGTCCAGGGCGGTTTGCTCCATTTCTCTCCAGACACTCAATAATTTTTCAGAAGCTGGAGAACATGTAAACAACACACAACATGAGCAAATCAACTCGGTTGTTGATGAACAGCGCAGTGTTCTGAAATTAATGCTAAACAGAATTGAGCACCTGCGTGTTTGGTTATGTGTGAAATATCATACCTATCATACTGTTGCATTGTGTATGCAAACTAAGTATGCAGATATTTGTTGCATGGAATCTGGAAAAAAAAATAGATGACCTACTACTGCTATATCCCACAATGCATTGTGCTCAACCTGACCCCCTATTCCCAGTGTGACAAATTAAAGGACAGGATGTCAAGTGCTTAATTTTATAATAATAATAAATTAATTATTTGGAAAGGATGTTATTTTTTGAAATAATAATAAATAGATAAATAAAATGAATAAATTATTTATTAGTATAATTAATATAAGTGCTTATTTTTTTTAATAATAAATGATTTGGAAAGGATATCAAGTGCTTATTTTTTAATAATAATGAATTATTTGGAAAGGATATCAAGTGCTTATTTTTTAATAACAATGAATTATTTGGAAAGGATGTCAAGTGCTTATTTAAAAAAAAATAATACTAATAATAAATCAAATTAATTATGTGGAAAGGATATGAAGTGCTTATTCTTAAAAATAATAATAAATTAATCGGAAAGGATATAAAGGGCTTTTTAAAACAACAATAAAATAAATGACAGAACTAAATTAATTTATAACTGATAATCAAGTGCTTTTTACTATCTTCCTTGCTAATTATTTGATTAGACGTTAATATATTTTTACATAAAATTAGATTCAATGACTAAATAATCATTTTAATTTCTAAGACGATAATTAGACGCCTCTCACTGAATTAAACATGCAACATAATGAGGTCATGTAGAACTTTTATAATACTGTCTCACATACTATTATATGTGACCCTGGAGCACAAAACCAGTCATAAGGGTCAATTTTTCGAAATTGAGATTTATACATCAGCTGAAAGCTGAATAAATAATCTTTCCATTGATGTATGGTTTGTTAGGAAGGACAATATTTGGCTGAGATACAACTATTTGAAAAACTGGAATAAATATCTTCATGGAACATGATCTTTACTTAATATCCTAATAATTTTTGGCATAAAAGAAAAATCAATAATTTTGACCCATACAATGTATTGTTGGCTATTGCTATAAATATACCCCAGCGACTTAACACTGCTTTTGTGCTCCAGGGTCACATATACTACTATACAGCAGTTTTCAGTATACACTGCACAGTATGAAATTAGCAGTACACTAGTATTTGATTCTGCCCGTGTGTCATACCGATGCCCGTCGCTCTCTGCTCCTGGTATTTGTCGATGTCGATCTGCAGACTGCTGCTGAAGAACTCCAGCGTGGCTTTTAACCTCTGGTGCATCGACACCATCTCGTTCTTCTGCTTTGACAGTGTGCCGTTGTGTCTGAGGAGACTCATGCTGGAACAGAGAGAGCGAACGGGTCACTTACAGCCTCTCACGTCAGTGTCAGCTCGTACAGAGCGCTTCTCGTCTTACATGGCGACTTTCTGGCCTTGCTGCAGTCTCTGCCAGTCCTCCTTCAGCGCGCGGATGGTGTGCCACGCTTGACCCCACGTGCGTCTCCGGGAGCTGTAGGGCAGCGAGCGCTTGGGCTCGTTCTCTACACCACAAAACACAGATCAGTTTAGGACCCTTCTTATATACGGTGCATGTTATTGTGGGTGCTTTAAAATGCCTTGAATGATTTTAGATCATCTATTAGGAATTGTTCAGATTACAACAATATGACCGGTTAAATTTAACAACACTGCGTAAAAGAGGCATGTGCATTGTGCACTGTCATGTAAATAAACTAGTGCTGTCAAACGATTAATCGCGATTAATCGCTTCCAAAATAAAAGTTTTTGTTTGCATAATATATGTGTGTGTTCTGTGTATATTTATTATGTATATATAAACACACACACACATATATTGTGTAAACACAAACTTTTATTTTGGATGCGATTAATCGTGATTCTATCTATATAAAAATGAAGTTTATTATTATAAAATGTGACTCTGGAGCACAAAACCAGTCATAAGGGTCGATTCTTTTCTGGAATATGAATACATAATCTTTCCATTGATGTATGGTTTGTTATGATAGGACAATATTTGGCCGAGATGCAACTATTTGAAAATCTGGAATCTGAGGGTGCAAAAAAAATCTAAATATTGAGAAAATCATCTTTAAAGTTGTCCAAATGAAGTTCTTAGCAATGCATATTACTAATCAAAAATTAAGTTTTGATATATTTACGTTAGGAAATTTACAAAATATCTTCATGGAACATGATCTTTACTTAATATCCTAATAATTTTTGGCATAAAAGAAAAATCAATAATTTTGACCCATACAATGTATTGTTGGCTATTGCTATAAATATACCCCAGCGACTTAACACTGCTTTTGTGCTCCAGGGTCACATATACTACTATACAGCAGTTTTCAGTATACACTGCACAGTATGAAATTAGCAGTACACTAGTATTTGATTCTGCCCGTGTGTCATACCGATGCCCGTCGCTCTCTGCTCCTGGTATTTGTCGATGTCGATCTGCAGACTGCTGCTGAAGAACTCCAGCGTGGCTTTTAACCTCTGGTGCATCGACACCATCTCGTTCTTCTGCTTTGACAGTGTGCCGTTGTGTCTGAGGAGACTCATGCTGGAACAGAGAGAGCGAACGGGTCACTTACAGCCTCTCACGTCAGTGTCAGCTCGTACAGAGCGCTTCTCGTCTTACATGGCGACTTTCTGGCCTTGCTGCAGTCTCTGCCAGTCCTCCTTCAGCGCGCGGATGGTGTGCCACGCTTGACCCCACGTGCGTCTCCGGGAGCTGTAGGGCAGCGAGCGCTTGGGCTCGTTCTCTACACCACAAAACACAGATCAGTTTAGGACCCTTCTTATATACGGTGCATGTTATTGTGGGTGCTTTAAAATGCCTTGAATGATTTTAGATCATCTATTAGGAATTGTTCAGATTACAACAATATGACCGGTTAAATTTAACAACACTGCGTAAAAGAGGCATGTGCATTGTGCACTGTCATGTAAATAAACTAGTGCTGTCAAACGATTAATCGCGATTAATCGCTTCCAAAATAAAAGTTTTTGTTTGCATAATATATGTGTGTGTTCTGTGTATATTTATTATGTATATATAAACACACACACACATATATTGTGTAAACAAAAACTTTTATTTTGGATGCGATTAATCGTTTGACAGCACTAAAACAAACCCAACATGGACGAGTAGTATGGTGGGATCGAGTGTAGGAGACCAGCTGAATGAAAATGCAAATTCACTTTTGAGAAATAATGTGGTTTCCCCTGTAATCAAAACCGGCTGTGCTACTTTGTTTCAGACACGGAGAAGAGAGGAAGTCAAACAGTATTTATGTTTTCAAACAGCCATTCAGATTTTTGTATTTGCTATGGTGTTTACGAAACAATGCCAAATATTTATAAACTTAAAGACTTAATATTTATTTTCAAACATACACTACCAGTCAAAAGTTTTAATAAATGCTTGATTTCTGAAGGATCATGTGACACTGAAGACTGGAGTAATGATGCTGAAAATTCAGCTTTGATCACAGAAATAAATGACATTTTACTATATATTCACAAAGAAAGTAGTTATTTTAAACAGTAAAGATATTTCACAATATTACTACTTTTGCTATATTTCGGATCAAATAAATGCAGGCTTGGTGAACAGAAGAGAATTCTTTACAAAAAAAAAATTTTGACTGGTAGTGTATGTTAACACATTGATATTTTTACATTTTAACCTTAAAAAAAAATTTTTTTTCTCTATATTTTATTGTTTACATTGTTTATATTTTTTAATTTTATTTCTATTTTAAATTATTTATTTTTTTATTTTATAATTATTATTATCTAATGGAAGCCTGTTTCTGTCACAGAATAAAAAAATCTAATTTTATAGAAAGCGTTTATATCTCACAATTCTGACTTGTGAAAAATAAACTTCCAATTCTGAAGAAAAAAAGTTGGAATTGTGAAATATAAACTCTGCCTTGCTCCGAATTCTGACTTACTTTCTCACCGTTCTGAGTTTATATCTCGCAATTCCGACTTTTTCCTCCGAATTCTGAGTTTACATCTTGCAATTAGACAGAAACTCACGGACGAATCGGATGTTCTCAGGCAGGACACGTGGCGTAAACTGAGGCTCGTAGCTGTAGCACGAACGGTCAAACAGGAAAATCAGCGGCTCATCTGTCCGCCGAGTGTCCATCATCTAAACAACACAAAACCATCAGGATGATATTAACACCGGGTCAATAAAATAAGCTTGAATTTAGAAGTTGCTGTTGCACCAAACGCACGCTATAATCGATTGCACACTGCGTGACGTTGTTATGCGGCTCAAGCGCAAGCCCGGCCTCCAGCAGCAGCTCCTGATTGGCCGGAGGAATGCGAGCGTCCTGCGCGATTCGCTCCTGCAGGGATGCCACGTCCTCCTGCGGCTGCACCGAATAGGTGAATATTTCAGCAGAGGTCATGTTGAGCACGTGGACCAGCTGAGGAGACAGAGACCATCGCATCAGACATGTTTACATGCGACACTGTGATCGTTCCATTGACGAGAGCTACCTTTAGATTCAGAATGCGGCTTAATTCATCGAAGCAGAAACAGGAAGCTTTCGGAGAGTCTTTGCCGGCCTCTGAACTGCTTTCTTTACCGTCCTCTTCTGGGTCTTTGACCCCGTCCTGACTGCCTTTGCTCCGCTGTCTTATATCTTTGCCTCGCTTTTTAGGTGACCATCTCAGCATCATTTGTAACCAGCTCTCCAGTTCACTCGCTAACAGTCTGAAACACATAGTTAGATCATAGACTATAAAAACATGGAAGTAGTGTCCGTGACGTCACCCGTAGGTTCCTGAAGAGTGTTTTTGAAGCTCAAAGTGGGCGGAGCCGGCC